GGGAAATCAGCCTGAGGGGACCACACTGGGCCTTGCCCAGCGCTCCGGGTAGCCGAGCGGGTAGTTAGCTCCGCCACAAGAGGAGAGAAGGAGCAGGCTGCGGCTTGGGCGGGCACTTCTGCTGCAGGGTAGCTGGCCCCTGCCTGCTTCTCCCTTTCTCGTTTCTTCTCCCAGCGAGAGGCCCACGACAAGGACTGCTGTCCCTGGGCCCAAGAAGCTCTGGTTGGATTTCAGGCCCTCGGGAGGCCAGCGGGCAGAGCCGAGGCTCAGGCCTGGGGTCAGGCCGCTGGGTGACACAGTGGCAGCTGCTGCTAAGAGCTGCCCCCACCAACACTGGAGAGGCAGGGGCTTGTGCAAATGTGTGTAAAATGCCCCCAGGACTAAGTGCCACAGAAGTCTTCGGAAAAGGAACTGCCACTTAGAAGAGCCCACGGGGCCTTCGCCTCTGGGCCCTGCAGGTGCCAGTGCTGGGCAGGCATGCGGGAAGGTTCCCTGGAGGCACAGGGGCTCCCCCGCCTGGGCCTTGGGAAACAGTTCTAGTCCCATCACTTTCCCAGTTTGGAAGCAGGCATGGCCCCCAGAGCTCGAGCAGGTCTGAGGGTCGCCCAAGATGGGAAGACCCGCCCCCTGGTTGGAGGCTGAGTCTAGCTCAGGTGGGGTTTTGAAGTTGGGCTCCCTCTCTGGAGGGAGATGTCTGGGGAAGGTAGTGACCAGAAGGAAAGCAAGCTGGGCAGTGCCCGGGGCGTTCAGTGAGGCCGCGCCCCACACCTGGGCATGCTGCCTGCTGCCTGCTGCCCCCCTGGGGACAGAGCTCCCTTTAATGCCAGAGCAGATGAGTGGGGTCCAGAGCTTTGGGAATGTGAGCCCTACCCTTACAAGGTATGGAATGTAAGGAACGTAGACATCTCATTGATGTTTCTCTCTCGCTGACATTTCTCTCTCTCCCCCTCCTCTCTCTTTCTCTCTCTAAAAAAAAAAAAGACACCAGAAAAATAAAGAAGGAACATAAGACAGAGGCTCCCACCACTTTGTGAGCGTGACCTGCTCCCTGCAGGTCACCGGCCAGGCAGGCATGAAGGTGAGAGACAATGCAGGGCCCTGAGCAAACAGAACCCCCTGTAACGGGGACGCCACTGGGGCTCAGCACGGGCTGGAGTTGAGAACGCAGAACTGCTGGAAACAGCCTCCCTCCTCGCCTCCCAATGGCACTTTTCAGGGGTGAAGGGGAGGGGAAATCCTTTGCAAGCAGGATGCTGTGTGCACCCCCTAAAACCTCACACACATGCGTCCCAGGAACCCGCATCTGTCCTTGTGGTCGACAACCTTAGCTGGTGTAAGTGCCGAAGCAGAGGGAAGGGAAACAATGTTCTAGAAGCCCCTCCCCAGGGCCCCAGTTCTCAGGGCCCAGGCTTCAGGGGTGTCATGGATGAAGGTGAGCTGAAAGGAAGGAGCCCCCAGAAGTCATCCTTGCTAGGGAGCCACTGTGCTTTCCGAAGAACAGGGGCAGGGTGGGGCAACAGGGCGGTGCTCGCAGAACAGGAGTGGGAGGTCTGGGACCGACCCAGCGGGACCCAGAACCCAGGCGGCATGCAAGGCTGTCAGGCTGCACTTGGGAGCTGTGTGGGGAGGTGCCACAAACCAGACAGGCTTGGGTTGGGGCCTCTGAGACCAGATGTTGACAAAGAAACAGCTTGTCCCTCTGCCCAGGTCGGCCCGTAGCCCCCGCTACGCTGGCTCAGCCCTGCACACCTGCCCCGTGTTCCCCGAGGGCTCAGCCGGGACCCACTGCGCAGAGCCCAGGACAGCCCAGGACACACTGGGATGCGGCTGCCTGGCTCTGGCTCGTCAAGGGGAATTGAGCACAGATGGCATCGTGCACACATGTACACACATGTCCACGCACATGGGTCCCATGAGCCTACTCCCTGGGCCTCCGGCCCTGGTCTCCACGGCCCGGGGACTCCACACTCAGTTTGCATCCCTCCTCCCTAACCTGCCCCGCACCTTGCGCATCAATTCCGTGTCTCCCTGGCTGGTCCTGTTGAGTCCCAGCTCAGGGGTCCCCAACTCTTCCCGAGCGAAAGGACACAGGTCTGGGGTACAGGGAAGCCACCGAGCTGGGTTGTGCAGTGCTCCCAGGCCGGCCGGTGGTCCCCTCTGACGGCGAGCCTCTGGCCTCCTAGGCTGGCAGAGGACAGAGCAGGGGAGGAGAGGTGGCTCGGGAGCTGAGGCCGCTGAGCTCCATCCCTTTGTCCAAAGGTCACAGCCTAGAGAAGGGAGAGAGTGGCAAAATGTCACACAGATTTGATGATTTGTCTTTTGTGACCTAGCACCCTCTCTAAGGCCACGTAGTTTGAGATGAGCTGTTCCCATCCTCTGCAAGAAAAGGTGGGACTTCTCCTTATTGAGGTCCTACTATGTGCCAGACCTTGCCAAGTGCCACAATACTTGATCTCATTTAAGTCTGAGACTAGCCTGCAAGATAGGTACATCATACCCTTTTAACAGATGAGAAAACTGAGGTTCAGAGAGGTTAAGTGTTTTGCCCAAGGGTGCACAGCGAGGAAGCAGCAGGGTCAGGATTTTAACCCAGAACTCTTCCCACTGGAGCACATAGCCTCTGGACTAAGTAAGGATGGTCACCCGGCATGTGGGCTAGGGGGAGGCCCTGTGGGCTGGAGTACCAGCCTGCATGTGTGTGGAACTGCCGAGAATGGTTGGTAAGGGCTGGAGCTACGGGAAGACTCCTGCAATGAGGAGAGGCTTTCCTGACCACTGCTGAGACAGAATCTAGGCCATCAGGGGCAGAAGTATGTATCCAATCTCCCAGGATGGTTCTGGAAAGAGACCCAGAAGGTGCACAGGTAATCTTTGCCTAGAAGCTGGCAGAGTGGAGGGGTCAACATCATGGATTTAGGGTAGGGGTGGGCAAACTTTTTGACTTGAGGGCCACAATGGGTTCTTAAACTGGACCGGAGGGCTGGAACAAAAGCATGGATGGAATGTTTGTGTGAACTAATATAAATTCAAAGTAAACATCATCACATAAAAGGGTACGGTCTTTTTTTTTTTTTTTTAGTTTTATTCATTTCAAACGGGCCATAGTTTGCCCACGGCTGATTTAGGATCTAAACCAGCCTGGGTTCTAATACTTGCTCTATTCCTTACTAGCTGTGCGATCGTTGGGAAGGCACTTAACCTCTGTGTGCTTTGGTTTTCTCTTGAGTAAGCAGTGACAGTACTAGCACCTACCTCCTGGGGGGTGGGGCTCTTAGGATTCAATGAGGTAATGCAGATAGAATCCTGACATAGCACCGGCCACACATGCTTCGTAAGTGATACCCAGACGACAGGTACTGTGCTGGTGGTTGTGATGATGATCTAGACTAGTGCCATGCGATGGACATACAGTGCAACCCAAAAGAAATGGAAGCAGGAACATGGACAAATACTTACACACCAACCCACTGAGCTGTACGTTTGAAATGGGAGAATTATATGCTATGTGAACTATATCTCAGCAAGCTGTTCAAAATGAAGTCATCTATGTCATTGTAAATTTTCTAATCATATTTTTAAAGTTAAAATGTAAAATTAATCTTAATGATATATTTTACTTAATTTAAGTAGCTCCAAAACATTATAATTTCAACATGTAGCCAACACTGTTCAGGTAATGTAACAAATTATCCTGCAGTGTCTTCTTTCTCCTACTTCACACCTAGAGTCCATCTCCATTCCACTCCCCACTCCAAGTGCTCAGTGGCCACACATGGCGAGTGGCTGGTATTGGACAGCAGAAGTCCAGGTCCCTCTACTCAGAGGGTGACCCATGGACCGGCCGCCCAGCATCACCTCAGAGCTTGTTGGAAATACAAGATCTTGGGCCCCACCCAGACCTGCAGAATAAGAATTCCCTAGGACCTCCGTGGTTGGCAGACCGTGGCTCGTGAGCCACATGCGGCTCTTTGGCCCCTTCAGTGTGGCTCTTCCACGAAATACCACGTGCGGGCGTGCACGTACAGTGCGATTGAAACTTCATGGTCCATGCACAGAAGTCGGTATTTTCTGGAAGAGCCACACTGAAGGGGCCAAAGAGCCGCGTGTGGCTCACAAGCTGCGGTTTGCTGAGCCGCAGTTTGCCTACCACTGCCCTAGGTGATCTGAACGCACATTAAATGTGAGGTGCACGTCTCTGGAACATGGGCTTGCCTTCCTCCAACCCACCATGTGCTGAGACATATGAGATTCTAGAAACCACAGCTCCTCGGGTGTGACCACCAGAGGGGCGAACTGAGACCCGAGAGGTGAGTTTTGAGTTAGCCGTGACGCCCTTGGAACACGCCAGCTGCAGCTAAGACCTCTTGGTGGGTCCCCTTTGCAGATTACAAACGCCTGCTGCCCCGGCTGCCTCGGGAAGGACTCTAGCACCGACCACTACACTGAGGGAGGTCCGCAGAGAGAGACACACGTATTGTCTCAGAGCCACTGGGCTCCAGCCAGGAATAAGGGGGAGGGGAGCGGCCCAGCGCTTCCTAGTGAGGAAGGCAGAGACGCCTGTGGCAGGGAGGAGGGAGTACCTTCCCTGTCTTCGTGCAACAGAGAATGCTGGGAGCTCAGCGTTGCCTTGATGGGGACAGGCTGCTGGTTTGAGGGAAGATTTCCTGAAATCTAGGCCTTGTGGAGGGGTCTGCGGAACACCTGACACGTGGGGCTTGGTGGGTTCAGGGGACCACCTTCCACAGGATGCCCCACCCACTGGGCATCAGCCTTCATCGGGGAGAATTAGGCCATGAGGTGGCATGGTAGCCACACGGCAGTGCTAGGGCCCAAATCCCAGAGCAGACTCCCCTGAACAGAAACCTGGTAGGGACGAGTGGTGGCTGGGGAGGGAGGTGGTACATGGGAAGGAGAAGGCTGGCAGAGGAGTTGGGGAAAGGAGCAACAGGCGACCAAGGCCAGAGGACACGGGCAGCGGGGAGAGGGCTGAGGGAGAACACCTACTCTGCCGACTTCCAGAAATGCCCGGGGTGAGACAGGCGGCGGTTTCGTTTTGGCAGTTTCTCCAGCATGTCCATGAGCTTGGTGAAGGTGGGTCTCTCCTCCTGTTCAAAGGCCCAGCAGAAGAGAAGGATGTCCTAAAAGAAACCAATATGTGATTATTTAACAAAAATGATGTCTATATTACTCTTTAGAACCTCACTGGATCTGTCCATTTGTATATCCATTTATCCCACTTCCATATTCTTCAATCATCATCCACCCATCATCCATCTATCCATCCATCCATCCACCCATCCATCCTTCCATCCATCCATCATACATGTACCCATCTAAATTCATGAATTTATAATCCATCCATCCATCCATCCACCCAAAGATCCATCCATGTATCCAGCTACTCATCCATCATGTATCCATCTATCATTCATATACCCATCCATCATCCATCCATCCATCCATCCCCCCATCCATAATCCATTCATCATCCATCCATCCATTCATCCACCCATCCATCCATCCATCCATCCACCCATCCATAATCCATTCATCATCCATCCATCCATTCATCCACCTATCCATCCATCCATCCATCATTCATATACCCTTTCATCATCCATCCATCCATCCATCCATCCATCCATGACCTATTCATCATCCATCCATCCATTCATCCACCCATCCATCCATCCATCCATCCACCCATCATCCATCCATCCATTCATCCACCCATCCATCCATCCATCATCCATCCACCCACTCACCTCCCCATTCATCCACCCACTCACCCATTCATCTACCTATCCATCCATCTATACATTCGTCCATACATCTATTCATCCATCCATTCTCCCTCCCATCTATCTCTTCATCCATCCATC